CCTTCAGCCAAACCACATGATCACCAAATATTTGGGGAGAAACACACATGAGATAGATGTATTCAAGGAAACAACATCAAAGCATCCATTACTTAATCTTTCTCTTGCCCTGGAGATTCACACCATGTTTGCCAACACAGGCAGCCTCTGAGCTTCAAGTTGACTTACAAGTTGACAATGTGGATTTTACGGAGTCCAAGATTCAGAAATAATCACAGACGATGTCTTTCACATCTCGATACCCCTTAACGTTCGAACACATAACGCACATTGCTATTTTACAATCCTATAAAACTCTTATCCATCTTTTTTGTGCCTCACACAGGTTTCATCAGCAACTCATCTCGAAGTCTTGGCCAGATATCATAGTTATTAATCATATGCCAACTCTTTGCTCTTATCATACTTTTATTTTACACCTGCAATATTGTAATATAATTACATTTATACATGTTTGTGTCTCCTCACAGACTGGAAGAACCTCGATGATAAGACCTATGGCTGAGTCTTTGTCTAAATCCTTCATAGAACCTATTAGAGTGTCTGGCAAATAGGAGGTCCAGATAAAATATTTTTAGAGCTATTAAATGCATTAAAATGTGAATTAAGCACCAGATCCCTCTACTTAGAAGAACCTTCAAAGGCTAAGAGGTAATTTGCCTTTAATCCCTCCAGCAATGTTGTGTTATCCATCCAGCATTAACATTGAGCACCTCTATGTGTTACTAGTTCTTTCAGTGATGTAGAAAACCACAAAAATTTATTGAAAAATGGAAAAATGAGTCAGAAAAATGCAGATACACATTATGTCCCATATGTGAAGAACGCTCATTATAACACATGTCAACTCTCAGGTTATTCCATAAGTGTCATTCACTTCTGATCCAAGTTTAAGTAACAGTAATCCAAAATTAAGTAACCAAATTTAAGTATGAGAAAGTGACAACATGACTGTAAAACTGAAATAAGAGAATAGATCTATTAGGATGTCTAAGAAAAAAATGGGGAATTAGAGTCATGCAAGTGAGTTGAATTATTGGGTGCTAAAATATTATAAACTCGTAACAATTAAGTCAATGATGAAGAAGCCAGATTATACCAGCAGATACCTCTAAAACACTAGGTTTCCCTGAAGCAAATTCTAAAAAGTGGAATAGCAAAATATTTGATAAAGAGCACACCACACACTGAGAAAGGAATGTATATTCAATAACAATTATTGCAGTAGTTGCCTAGCTATTAATTATTATTATTGGGGTTTTTTTTTAGACAAGAGTCTCCCTTTGTTGCCCAGACCAGAGTGCAGTGGTGTGATCTTGACTCACTGCAACCTCTACCTCCCAGATTGTTCAAGCAGTTCTAGCGCCTCAGCCTCTGGAGTAGCTGGGATTACAAGCACATACGACCATGTCCAGCTAATTTTTTGTATTTTTAGTAGAGCCAGGGTTTCGCCATGTTGCCCAAGCTGGTCTTGAACACTTGCCTTGGCCTCCCAAAGTGCTAGGATTATAGGCATGAGCTACTATGTCCATCCAGTAATTGCCTAGCTATTTAGACAATAAATCAGTTAGACACTGTCTCCGTACTATACACCAAAATAACATCCAAAGAAATTTTTCAAATTAAACCATAATGAAGTTCAAATAAAATAGAGGTAAAAGTGTATTTGATCACCAGATAGGTAGTGACCATTTAAGCAAGGATGGAAATGTGCCTTCACTATCATTATCATACGTAGTATTTATTGAACATTTTCTGTGTGCTAGGTAATGTGTACAGTGATTTCTTCACATGCTGTTCTCATTGGGTTCTCAAAGCAAGAATGTGATGTCGATACTCTTAGTGACTCCATTTTAGCAATGTGGAAGTTGAGGCACAGGGAGTTTTAGTAACTTGCGAAAAGTTACATGGCCAGGAACTGGAAGGATTACGGTATGAACCTGGACCATCTGATTCTAGAAATTGTGCTTTTAAATTTTTACCATCTAAAATATGTACGGTGGAAATAAAATTGGAGAGGAAAAGACAAAATGATAAGAGAAAAAACAAATAGACAAATGGGCCAAGATAGAAATGAAAATATTAAAATAGAAATATGAAAGGAAAATAAATGTAAAAATGTTGAATTTTTGTAACCTGCCATGTGCACACAAAGCTAATACATTGAGATATCTTTTTTTAAAAAAACATAAAATTCATGCAGTCTTTTTGTTTGTTTGTTTTCCTTTACACATGATTGTACTTAGAACTAGCAAGATCTTAGGGAGGGATTACTTAGGCATTGCTAAACTGCTTTCCAGAAATGACACACCAATTTACATGCCCAAGTGGCAAAAGAAGAAAAAGGCTTAAAAATATTTGTAGCTTTTGACCTAGAAATTCCACTTCTAGGAAACTATTCTAAGGATAATTTTGGAAATGCAGACAAAGTTTTAACCATAGAGATGTTTGTAGAAATTTTTTATTAGAATAGAGAAATGTGAGGAATCATCTAAATTCCCAGCAATAAGAAAATGGCTGAGTACATGACACTTATACTATAGCCAAGAGGTTGGCAAACTATGGTCTGTGGGCCAAAGTCCAGACCACTGAATATTTGTCTATTTTTACCTGCTTTTGTGAATAAAGTTTTATGCAAACACAGCCCTGTTCTTTCATTTATATATGGTCTACGGTTGCTTTCATGATTCAAGGCGAGAGTTGACTAGTTGCTGCAGAGATTGTATAGCTTGCAAAGACTAAGTTATTTATTATCTGGACCTCTACAGTAAAATGTTGCCGATCCCTGTTGTCGCCAGCCAGTTATATTGTTTTTATTTTTTAAAAAAAGTTTAATGGCGAGGGTTAAATGTGAAACCTGTAACCTTAAATTCAATAGAAACCTATTTATTCTGATCTATTAACACAATGATTACTTTGTGATAATGATGCCAATAATAATAAAGGTGTGGTACAAAAACATTGGTATTTCACAATAGCCAATTTTACAAGGTAGTGGGTTTATATTATGATTGTAAACTTACTTAAGCTCAAATATCTTTTCTGGTAATTTTTTTCTTAGTACTAATACTTCTGACAATGTGTATCATATCTTTTCGCCTCTACACAACCAGTACTGCACAAACATTCATCTGTGATAACTTATGAAATTTAAATATCCAGAGGCCAGCAAAGCTACTGCCAAAATGATGTCATTTATTTTATTAAGGACAACTTTTTTGCCCAGCTGACTTCCTGATCCAATGACCATCCTTTTTCGTGGTGCATCAAATTCTGAAATTAGCTGACTGACCTATTGGGTAACCATTGCCTGGAAAATTGGGTCCCTGTACCACTATGCTTGTTTTTGGGATCTTGAGAAATTACAAAGATGACGGTAGACCGTCCCTAGTCGCTCCACCTTTTAAAACAAACAATGCCTTCCAGCTAATAAATCAGCAGGAAGGAGCTGACAGGACAGAGATCTGTGTTCACTTCTCTAAGTTGTTTTTGTCTGGTTCAGAAATCATTAGCACCTGATAGTAGTTTCAACATTCACCCAGTGGGAAGGGAAGGGGTAGTTCCCAGGCCAGCTTTCTGTCAGATAGGAGACAATTCTATGCAGACAATACTTTGAAGATAAAAAGACTTGCAAACTTCCTTTTTTTTTTTTTTTTAACTTTTTAAATATGAGACAGGATCTTGCTATGTTGCCCAGGCTGGTCTTGAATTCTTGGGCTCATGCAATCCTCCCAACTCCTTAGCCTCTCAATTAGCTGGGATTAGAGGCACTTGCCACCACGCCTGGCTCTGTGGCTTGCAAATGTTCAAATACTATGTACCAGGGCCTTAACAGAATTGCTAATGTAGTTGTCATAGTAGTTGCATAGTAGAAACAACAGCAAAACCTTCAAGAACAATAATTAATTACTAATTACTTTTTAAACATTGGAGAAAATAGTATTGTACCAAAGAGTAAAGAAGACAAACTAGAATTTCTATTAAAGAATTGCCTCTTTCAGGAGGTGCCTATATGATTCACAATTGCTTCCTAATAACTGAACTAGGAAATGAGAAATCAAAATTGGCTCTGAATTCAACTATTTCTGTAATAATACGAAATACAGCCATCATATTTGGGAATAGATATTACATTTTATTTGTTTAGGGGATTGGATATGAACAAACTTCTAGTTTGTTTATTTGTTTATTTTTTTTTTTAAATAAGCCTACGGTCTATTCTTCCTTTAAATGTTTTTTGTGTACTTAATGTGTTACAAATACAGAGTATTTGTAATACTCTGTAATTTACAAATTGTAAATACTCTGTATTCGTAATACGTATGGCGAATCCAGAAAGTAAGAAATTACAACCTTATTTGTTAGGAAATTCAAAGTCCAGAGAGAGATAACAAGTAACAACAGGAAAAGGAGGACAATACGTGAAAACTTGGCTGTATAACCAAAAGCTAAGAGGAGAGGTGGGGAAAAGTTCACAGGTAACTTAAGGTGGTTCTCCAGGACAAAAGAAGAATTCTTTGGGTAGTCAGGGTAAGAGAGGTCCTTTCAGGTAGAAAGAAACCATGTGAAAAAGCAGAAGGCAGGAAATGGCTCCGAGTAGCCAGATTCCGTGGGAACTGTGAGAGACTTCAAAGAAAGCCTGGAGGTATATGAAATGTAGGATTGCAAAGAGCTCTATGTGCTGAGATAAGGAGACTGGATTTATCCTCCAGGCAGTGGAAAGCCGATTACGTTTTTTTCTAACATTTTAGAAGTATCAATCAGGCAACACTGGAGAGGATGGATTAAAAGTTCAGGGGAGAATCGGGGGCAGAGGCTGGTAGGATGTCATGGCAATAATAGAGAAGAGAGATGATAAAGCTTATTAATGTGATGAGCAGAAAAGCAATTATATGAAATATTTAGAACAGCAGTGGCCAATAGAATTCTAACGAAAGCCACATATGTAAGTTTTAATTTGCTGTTAACCACATTGAGAAAGTAAAACCAAGTATATGCAATTAATTTTAATAATGCATTTTATTTAACCTAATAGATAAAAAATACTGTCCTTGTAACATGTAATTGATACAAAAATCATCAGTGAGATATTGTACATCCTTTTTAGGTACTAAGTTTTCAAAATCCAGTGTATACTTTAAACTTAGAGCACATCTCAGTTTTGGCTAGCCACATTTCAAATGCTCAATGACCACATGTTAGTGACTGCCATTTTGGACAGTGCCGATTTAGAAAATAGAATCTGTGAGACACATGGGTCAATTGGATAAATGATGAAAATAAAAGAATAATATCTACCATTCATTGAGTACTAAATATGAGACAGGATAATAATCATATATTATCTCATTTACACTCATACAATCCTGTCAGGTAGAATTTTTTTGACACCATAACAGGCTTAAAGAGATTAACTAGATGTAAATCACATAACTTGCGGTGACAAAAGTTGAACAAAGGTCTGTGGAATGGGATAGCTCAGACTCTTAACCACCAGACAATACTGCCTTTGAATACTTGTAAAAGTGGAAAGAGGAATTGAGGTTGATTCTGATCACGCTAGCATGAAAAAGCTGATTGACAGATAATCATACCACTTATGGCTATTGCTGTTAAGCGAGAAATCACAGGTATAAAAGAGAAAGATAGCTGTTTTTAGAGTTGTTGACTGAAAAATATTATTTCCCCCTACTGTTTGTTTATTGGCTATTGTGCCAAACTAGAGTATAAAATCTCCGAGTACAGATATTATTGTCTGTTTGTTATTGTTGTATGACAAGTGCCTAGAATAGTGGCAAGCATTCTGTTGGTATGCAAAAAATATTAAATAAATAAATGGGTGTATGGATAGATGGATGGATGAATTAATATCCATAAGATACCACTAATGAGAAAATTGGTGAAAATTTCAGGTAGGAAGTAAAGATTTAGGAATGACCATATTTAGGAGATAGTTAAACATGGGATATTGACTAAGAGCTCACATAAAAAACATAAATACTGAGAAGGGAACCACGGTGGATGTTAACCCAAGGGGGTTTTGGAGAAAAATGAAAATGGAGAAGGAAACCAGGAAATGCAATTCAGAGAAGTAGAGTAAATAAAGGAAATAATCATATTGAGAAACTCAAGAGAGGTGAGACTTTCAGAAGAAGGGAATATGCTTCCATGTCCAATAAAGAATTGATGTCACCTCTATAGAGATTGTGGTGAGTCCACTGGGTTTGGCAAGATGAAGTTCATTGGCTGCTTCATAAGGCTTGTTTTGCTGGAAAAGAAAGAACAAGAAACAGGTCGCTCCCGGTTGAAGAATTAACTGCAGTCTGACAATTGAGAAAATGAATAAAGATACTTGACTGTGCATCGCTTATTATAATGACTGATTGGAAGCAAAACAATTTCAAAATTGAGAGACTGGTTAAATAAAGTACACCCTTATTAGTAAAGCACACATAATTCTTGTAAGCTTCTATTCGGGTATACAAAGAAGTTGCTTTATTTTTCAACCCAATTTTTTTTCTTTTACAATAAGAAAGCAATCCATCTGGAAATTCCCCTTCCTCACCCTTGCAGTCATTTCTAAGTTACTGAATTCTTCAGTAAAATAGGGTGATGGGAGAGAGAGAGGAGAAGGATTAGGCAACTGGTCATTGGTTGGCATCTGTGGGTATATGATCCATATATTTATTATTCAGTCTTACTCTTGGCTGTGGTTGTCTCTTTTCCCTCTGTTATTGAGATGTCCACATGCTTGTCTGGTCCTGAATGCTGCCACTGCAGATTTCTCATGTGATGTGCCCTTGGCTCAGGTTTCCTTCATTTTGGCCAACACATTTGTGTTCATCTGACACCCACGTCCCTTACAAAAGCGCAGAAAAGTTTGACCCTTCTCCCAGACCAGTCTGCAGCCACAGATGTCCTGGGACTGCACCAGATTCTCTCTGCCTTACTTTTATTGCTGCTCAACTCTTATGATGGTGGTGTTGGGAAATTGGGAATGCCACGCCCAATTGCTCTCTATTCTCAGATCACATCATTTAGGGATTCTCTATCTTCCCTACTCCCTAGGTTGAGTATGAAAAGGGCATAACACAAGCCTGCTTATTTCCAACTCTCAATCCCTCGCTTATAAGACCTAGTTATGGGCTGGGTGCGGTGGTTCATGCCTGTAATCCCAGAACTTTGGGAGGCCAAGGCAGGTGGATCACTTGAGGTTGGGAGTTTGAGACCAACCTGACCAACATGGAGAAACCCTGTCTCTACTAAAAAAAATACAAAATTAGTCAGGCATCGTGGCACGTGCCTGTAATCCCAGCTACTCGGGAGGCTGAGGCAGGAGAATGACTTGAACCCAGGAGGCGGAGTTTGCGGTGAGCTGAGATCACGCCATTGCACTCCAGCCTAGGCAACAAGAGCAAAACTCCATCTCAAAAAAAAAAAAAAAGAAAAAGAAAAAAAAATCCTAATTGTGTTTCCATGAACACTACCCACAGTTATGGCATAAAATTTTCAACACTAGATTCCTGAAATACTCATAAACTCAACATTTCCTTTCTGCTATCTCTAGTTCGTCTACTTTGAGTTATGAAAGTGCCTTTTTTAAATGCTCCCTATGCTTCTTCAGTAACACATTTAGGTTAAGAATATTAAGTCTGGTATATATGGAGAGACTGAGAAGGAGGTGGTGATGAGCAGGTGCAAGGGTATGAGATGGTGTCAGGGAGGGTGTACAGGAGGAAACACATTAGTTCATACTTCAAAATATTATTCAGCTACACCATGGAATACAATTTACCCACTAGCAATGGCATCGTAGATTGAAATGCAACGTAACTCAACTATCTTCCAACCATTAAAAATGTAATATTTATATTATAAAATAACGTGAACAGTATAGAACCATTTTATGCTTCCAAAGTACCTTTATGCATAGAGGTATCCTATAAATATATAAAAGTTGATAACAACGATCATCTCTAGTTATTAATATATGGTGGTGCCTTCTGACCTCTTCTCTGTATTCCTGTATCTCTCTCTTCTAGGACTATTCTATTTTTTAATTTTATATAAGGAGCATGTTTTCCTTTGCAACAAAAACATCCTCAGTTTTCATTTTTTTCAAAGCTGTGGAAGGCAGAAGAGTGATGGGTAGTAGCTGGAAGCAGATGCAAGGTCAAAGGAGGGTTTGTTTGGAATTGCAGAAATTTGTTCATGTTTATAACTGAAAGGAAGGAGCCAGTAGAGAAGGAAAGGCTGAAGATATGGAGAAAAAGGGGGTCATTGTTGGGGCAAGGTCTTAAAGAAAAACAGAGGGTATGCAATGTAGGATCAAGAATACAACTGGAAGGATGGCCATCATCCCGAAAAGAAACACTTCTTTCTTTAAGAGAGAGAAAAACAGATTTATTTGTATCCCTAAACATTTATAGGAGAGCAGAAACAGTACCAGGGAGAGCATAAGGAAGCCACGTGAGAGTTCATCCTCTTGGGGATGAGGATGGGCCTCTCTGAAAAGGGTTTGAGACAAATAGCTTGCCAGACCTTCTACGAGAATAGAAGAGCTCACTGAAGACAAGGAAATCTTTGCCCTAATTGCCCAATCATACTGAATGAGCAGTTGTAGTAGGACCTATACATTTTAAAGGCACCAAGCCACACATCTGTAAAATTTTCTCTGGCTGTGCTCAAAGATCTGAGTAGAGGAGCAGAGAGAGATTCAGACTCCAAATTTTCAGGGCAGAGATATTCAAATAAATGGGGTGAAAGGGTTTGAGTTTGTCAGGATGCTTCATAAATTTAGTAATAGCCAAATAATATATTTGAAGCCCTTGAAAAATGAAAAGCCAAGAGGCAGCTCAAAATTATTTTTGTCTTCTGTTTCAGTCACTGAGGTCACTTCTCTTTAGAATCATGAAAGTGTCCAGTAAATAACCAGCTCCTTTTTCTAAACAATCTTCTCCCCTGGGAAGCACAAAAGCAGATTCTTGCTTTTCAAAGAAAACAATCATCTTTTCTAGGAATTTTGGACCTCAGAGTAATCCATAAAATAGTTATTGCAATACATTGGCTTCTTATTATTCTTAGGATTCTTTCTCTCAGCATCAAAGGAAGAAACCTCCAGATCAGGTTATGACCTTCCTAATCAGAAAGAACAATGTCTTCCTTTGCAGTTGATGCTTATAAGTCTTCCACCACACTTTCCTGTGGCCTATTGTAATTTTCACATACCATAATCTCTCAGTGATCCTGCCTTTCTAATAGGGGTTTCAGTTTTATCTTCTCAGAGAGAACAACACAATCTAAGAGCTATCTAATTCTTTAGCTTTTGCATTTTTCCCTTCTTAGCATTGGAGTTATTCCAGAAAACAGCTCTAGTCAAAAGGACTATTTACATCTATCATCGGACATTATTATTGAGGAAACACAACTGCATGCAGATATTGCAGTGCCTTTCGCGTGCATAGAAATGATCATGATGAAAAAGCACTGTTTCAAAGATATGAATGGACGTGAAGAAACCTGTAAACCCAGGTTTCAATTCAGGAGCCGTCTTTACTTTCTCTTAAGCCCTATTGAAAAATTGGGAACAATACTTTACATCACTTATTATTTACACAATTCTTTCCCCAAGTATTCAATGATTTTCTACTACCTGTCTCTATCAATCAAACTTTAGTCTGCACGCAGAATGTGGATGATTCACTGCCCCTGTTTCTAACCTCTCAGGCTATTTTTCAAACCCTTGGAGCCAGCTAAGCAGCTTTGCTCATGATTCCTCATACAGGTCTCAAGTAATGCTGCTCAACACCTTTGCTCTTGCTGATGGCTCTCCCTACCCACTCTCCACTTACCCTCTTACTCAATGCAAGACACCTTCTCTAGGGACCTCTGCAATTAGCCATCTTCTGTGATCACTGGTATCTCTGGACAATTTGAACACAGAACCCTCTGGGACCCTTTTAAAAACACACATTCCCAAATGGTGGTTACCAGAGGCTCGGGCTGATAAGATGGATAGAGAGGTGTTAGTCAAAGGCTACAACATTTCAATTAGGAGGAATAAGTTCAAGACATGTATTGTACAACATGGTGTCTATAGTAAATAACAATATGTTGTATTCCTGAAAATTGCTAAGAGTATATTGTGTTTTCAAACCCCCAAAAATGACATGTGAAGTAATGCATACATTAGTTAGCTCAATTGAGCCATTCCACAATGTATACATATTTCAAAAAACTTGTTGTTCATGATAAATACATGCATTTTTTACCTCTCTAGTACAATAAACAAATAAAATGAATAAATAAAAAAATAAAATGAAACAACCTAGTAACCATACATTAAAAAAAAAAAAAAATTCCCAGAATCTCATGACTGGCACATCTAAGTCTACAGTCCAGCATGCTTCCTCAACTTCAATGTGCTTATGAATCATACAGGAAAATTACTAAATATGCGATTCTGATTCACTAGGTCTTTGATGGGGCTGGCAATCCAACACTTCGAACAAGTTTCCAGGCAATGCCAATCCTGTTGGTCCTCAGTTCACACTGAATAGCAAGGGGATAGTGTAAGACTAGGGAAGTTGTACTATTATTTTTTTTTTCGAACAATTTTGATGCAACCAGCCTAGGAACAATTAATCAATATGCATTTAGGAACTACCACTCCCTACTCTTCTGGCTGTTGGCATGTGCTCTCCTGCTTATTGCAGTTATTTATCTATATATAGGTTTGACTTGTATCCTCCACTGTCCTGTAAATTAGTGAAAAGTACAAGGATATTTGATACCCCTTCAGACTCCTCCACTGAACAGAATGTCCACAGAGTCAATGGCCAATTAATACATGTTAAAAAAATGAATATTGCTGCTGCTTGATATTAAATTATTGGACAGAAAGTGACTTCAGGCCAGGCTCCGTGGCTCACGCCTGTATTCCTAGCACTTTGGGAGGCCAAGGCGAGCAGATCGCCTGAGTTCAGGAGTTCGAAACCAGCCCGACCAATATGGTGAAACCCTGTCTCTACTAAAAATACAAAAATTAGCCAGGTGTGGTGGTGGGCACCTGTAATCCCAGCTACTTGGGAGACTGAGGCAGGAGAATTGCTTGAACCCGGGATGTGGAGGTTGCAGTGAGCCGAGATTGTGCCACTGCACTCCAGCCTGGGCAACAGAGCAAGATTCTGTCTGAAAAAAAAAAAATAAGAAGAAAGAAAGTGACTTCAAAGAGGTTTCCATAATAAATGCTAAATGCAGAGTGAAAAT